GAAGCCACCGGGAGTCAGCAAGACGGCCTGCGAGTGTCAGTTAATATATTTTTGCTATAAAAGTTGTATCCGTGAATTTAAAAAACGGAACAGGTAAATCTGTTTTATAGTAAAATGTTACTAATTATATACAATTAAATAAAAATAAAAAAAAGTCCTACGTACGTTGTCATGGCGATACACGTCTGTGTCGTAAAGTGTCTTTTTGTGTTGCAACCGCATTAGCTGCGACAGCGTTTTGCGGCAGCAGGGAAATCGAGGAGAAAGCAGCGACAAACGTCGCCAGCGGATACGTTACGGCCTCAAAAGTCCTCGGATATTGACAATATTCGGCCAGCCTCCCTATATATAGGTTGTATAACATTTCGCTTTGTTGATGAAATCGTGTTCAGCGTTTCACCAGCGTGAACCTCCACTTTAATGCAGTGGAATGGCCACAGTGCCGCCTGGGCCTGGTAACGCACTGCCTTCATCCCTGGTTGAAATTTCTCCTTTCCCCGGGGCAGGGTGCGTGGAGGCGGCGGTGGAAGACGGAGAGCCTACCCGCCACGGGGAGGACTGTGCTCCAGCCGGTACGGGTATAAAGTCACCGCCGGTAAACGAGGTCAAAAGGTCGGTCAAGAAGAAGCGGAAAAACATGCTAGCTCAAGCTAGCCCGGCGGCGCTGCACTTGAAAATGCAAGCCCGAGAGCAGCAGCAGCTGAACGGCTTAGCCAGCCCCTCAGAGGAGCCCGACAGCCACCAGCAGGAAGGAAGCCGGCCTGACAGTCTCAGATCGCCCGTGGACAACAACTGTGACAGCGGCAGCGAGGGCACCGCGGCCGCTAGAAACCGCACGGAGCGCTGCCAACACGAAGGCCCCTTCTCCAAAAACGGCAGTCACTCTCCTCTCCGGAGCAGCAGCAGCGTGAACGGCATGCCGGGCTCAACGAGGACTGACGACGGGGAGAAACCGCTCGACCACACGCGGAGGCCGCCGAGCGACGAGCCGCCGGACGGAGATGCGAGTCCGGCAGAAGCGCAGCCTCCGGCCGCGGAGCTGGCCCGGCTCGACCTGAGCTGCTCTCCGGGCCGGGCTGAAGGAGACAGCCACGGCATCCGCTATGTCCGATACGAGTCCGAGCTGCAGATGCCCTGGATCATGAGATTGATCACCAAGGACTTGTCCGAGCCTTATTCAATTTACACGTACAGGTACTTCATTCATAACTGGCCGCAGCTGTGCTTTCTGGTGAGTAAACTCCGACACTGAAATCAAACCCCAACCTGGTAGCCTCAGTCAGTATGAACTCCAGTTGTGTTTTTGGGCTGGGTGTGGTTCTGTATAATTCCTGTAGGTAGGCACACAGGTTTGGCTCAGAGACTCATTCAAGTGTCCCAAATCCTTACTTGTTGCAATTCCACCTGACATTATTCTCACTTTATTTGATCTGTACTGTTTATTTGTGCTGTGCTGTTGGATTATTAAACCATCAGAGCCACCACAGTTGCATTTTAAGTGTTTTCCTGTTGTAAATATCCCAGTGGCTGTGCAAGGCCACATGAGAGCACTAGAGGAAGGATGACAGAATGAAGGTCAAAGGGCATCTCAGGGAGTCAGCAGATCTGACAGGATGTCAAGGACTGTTGCTCTGCTTTCTGCGCTTTCCCCCACATGGCACTCTGAGGTTGATTGTGTGTGTCTTGTCACAGGCCATGGTGGAGCAGGAGTGCGTCGGAGCCATCGTATGTAAGCTCGACATGCATAAGAAGATGTTCCGTCGTGGCTACATCGCCATGCTTGCTGTGGACTCAAAGCACAGAAGAAAAAGTATCGGTGAGATCTTCAAGTGTTCAAAAAGTCTCATCCTGTCATGTGGAAGATGTCAAGCCTTTTATTTGAGCTTCTTTGAAACCAAAACCTAATTTGCCAGTTTGCTGGGTAATAATGCATTCTTTGCAAAATGTTGCTTTAATTTTGACTGAAATGACTCTTTTTAACAGGGATCAGGGCAAATAAAATATTAATCTTCTGAAAGTTTTAATTGGCGTCTCTGTGGGTGTTTTGTTTCAGGTACTAATCTGGTGAAAAAGGCCATCTATGCCATGGTGGAGGGGGACTGTGACGAGGTAACTTTAGTGCATCCACGCGTCTGCAAACTGACACTTGCTGTACACGTCGCTTCAGTCCAAATATGTCTAATAAAGTGGGAAAAACATAAAAACGTCGCTTCGCCGTATAAGTCGCATCTGTTATGCGTCACCGCTGACAACCCTGGTGTTGTGCCACAAATGGATTGGTTGCCAAATGGTGGCTGCAGGAGTGTGCACAGGAGGACTTGAACAAGAATTTAACAAGATTAACACTTAAAAACAATTGTTTGTTTGCTCGAAATTATAGTAAAGGTGTGTCTCAGTTGAACTTTTCCTTAATAAATACACTTTGACGGTCAAATCAGCTGCATTTCATCTTTCCTCAAAGTTCTACACACGATACCCCATTATGACAAGGTAAAAAGATTTGAGATTTCTGCACATTTATTAAAAATAGAAAACTAAGTCACATTTATGTAAGTATTCACAGCCTTTTCCATGAAGCTCAAATTGAGCTCAGACACGTCCTGTTCACACTGATCTTCCTTGAGACGTGAGATGTTCTACAGGTTAAATGGAGTCCACCTGTAGTTGATTGGACTTGGTTTGAAAGGCGCACACCTGTCTATAGAAGGTCCCACAGCTGACAGTGCAGCTCACAGCACAAACATCAGGCATGAAGTCCAAGGAACTGTCTGTAGACCTCAGAGACAAGATTGTGTTGAGGCACAAATGTTCTTCTTTGAAGGTCCAATGAGCTCAGTGACCTCCATCATTTGTAAATAGAAGAAGTTTGGAACCACCAGGACTCCTAGAGCTGGCCGTCCATCTAAACTGAGCGATGAGGGGAGAAGGGTCTTAGTCAGGGAGGTGACCAAGAACCTGATGGTCACTTTGTTAGAGCTCCAGTGTTCCTCTGTGGAGAGAGGAGAACCTTCCAGAAGGACAACCATCTCTGCAGCAATCCACCAATCAGGGCTGTATGGTACCAGGTGAAATCCACTCCTTAATAAAAGAAACATGGCAGCACGTCTGGAGTTCCTGAAGGACTCTCAGACCAGGAGAAACAAAGTTCTCTGGTCTGATGAGACAAAAATTGAACTCTTTGGTGTGAATGCCAGGAGTCATGTTTGAAGGAAACCAGGCAGCGCTCATCACCAGGCCAGTAGCATCCCTACAGTGAAGCATGGTGGTGGCAGCATCATGCTATGGGGATGTTTTTCAGCAGCAGGAACTACAGATCAGTCAGGATAGAGGGAAAGATGAACGCAGTGATGAAGAGACATTCTGGATGAAAACCTGCTCCAGAGAGCTCTGGACCTCAGACTGGGGAGGCGGTTCATTTTTCAGCAGGATAACGACACAAAGCACACGGCCAAGATCTCAAAGGAGTCATGACCACTCTGTGAAGGTGCTGGAGGGACCAAGATCTCAAAGGAGTCAGGACCACTCTGTGAAGGTGCTGGAGGGACCAAGATCTCAAAGGAGTCAGGACCACTCTGTGAAGGTGCTGGAGGGACCAAGCCAGAGTCCAGACTTGAATCTGATTGAACATCTCTGGAGATCTCTGAAAATGACCGTGCACAGACGTCTCCCGTCCAACCTGATGGAGCTTGAGAAGTACTGCAAAGAAGAATGGGACAAAGTGTCTAAAGACAGGTGTGCTCAGCTTGAAGCATCTTATTCAAAAAGACTTGAGGCCGTTCCTGCTGCCAGAGCTGGATCAACAATTAAGAAAAGGCTGTGAATACTTGAGTAAATGTGATTTATTAGTTTTCTATTTTGACTAAATTTGCAAAAATCTCAAATCTTTTTTCACATTGACATCATGGAGTATTGTGTGTAGAATTTAATACAATTTGTAAAAAGGCTCATGAAACGTAAAATGTGGAAAAAGAGAAGCTCTGAATATTTTCCAGGTGCACGGTGTATATGAAGACTTCTTGTCTCTGTGTCCAAACGACACTTTTATTTTTGACTTGTTGACTAAAGAAGGTAAAGAAAACATTTGAACCCAAATCTGCGTACAGGTGAGGAGCTCACTGACGGGCAGTGTGTTGTTGTTTTGTTGCCCAAGTACATTTTATCAGCCCGGCAACAATTATTAAAAAAAAAAAAGCAAAACAGGTTTTTCCTTCTTACCTAGTTAACTCGCGTTAAAATGATTTATTTCCTAAACGGCCCCAAAGTAAATTTTCTTTCAACAAATTACCAAGTTAACGGCTGAGGTAGCTCGGGGATCGGTGTTTTTGTAATCCCGAGGTTGCGAGTTCGAGCCCAAGTTGCATCAGGGAGGGCATCCGGTGTAAAACACTCAACAAATCTTTCACGCAAGTTCGCTGTCTGTGCCGGCCCCTGAAGAAGGGAGCGGCTGAAGGAAAGATGTCAAACAGATAACCAAATTAGGGACATGTGTACGTTTGGCGCTTGTTTTACCGGATCAATTTCTGACTGCTGCTCTCTGCTTCAGACTTTAACACCACGTTCTTTTGCACAAAACCCATTGACCTTTGACTTGTATTGACGATCACTGAGGGAAAAGCAGGAACATTGCTGTTGATGTTGGCATTTTCTGGTAAAGTAAAGCACGAGTCTGCTAAAACTCAGCCCGCTCACTCGTCTGTGTGTCTGTGTGTCTGTCTCCCACCCCCACAGGTTGTGCTGGAGACTGAGATCACCAACAAATCAGCCCTGAAGCTCTATGAGAACTTGGGTTTTGTCAGAGACAAGCGGCTGTTCAGATACTACCTGAACGGAGTGGACGCGCTGCGGCTCAAACTGTGGCTCCGCTAGAGAGAAGCATGAGGGGACTTGGGGCTGGGGAGGCGGGACTGCAGGTGCTGTTCACCTCTAACACTATGAGCTCTACAGCTATGGTCATTTCGCTCCTAAACACACACACACGCGCAGACACACACGCACACACCTGTGTTCAGATACGAGGAGTGTGCATCGACACAAACGCCCTCTTTTTTTCCCCGACCTCTGAACAACCGCTGCTTATCGGCAAAAACAAATGGACTGAAATAGACCTCTTCTTTTTTTAATTTTTATTACGAGCCCTGACTCGTTCTGTGATGAGGGGGGGTGAGGGAGGACGGTCTTTAGGGTGATCCTCAGCTCAGGAGAGGACCAGGCCACCACATCAAATCATCCTGAACAAAAGCAGACTTCCAGAAAACAGGAAGCAGCAAAACATCAACAAGGAAACTGTTTGAAGTTGTTTTTTACTTTGTGCAGAAGGGGTGGACGCTGTCGTGCGACTGTGTTTGTACCACTTGATTTTTGTCTTTGATTATATGTGGCGTGGTTGTTTCCACTGACAATAAGCAAACTTGTTTGTGTGACTGCTTGGTTTCGCATCGTTCTGTTTTTGGTTCCTGTTCTGTCCGGTGTGTGTGTGTGGTGGGGGGGCAGCTTCGTCCCGGCTGTCGCTCCCATCACCTGCCTCAACCTCCAGGACGGAAGCCTGTGGACACTTCTTTGTTTTCACGTGAGTTCAAGAGGAAGTGTGCATGGATACAGCCCAGCCCTCTCGTTTGATTCAGAGCAGTTCTTTTTAAACAATTCACTCCATTATCCAATCAAATGTCAGGCTTCATC